CCACCTCTCCTTGTTGGTCTGTCTTTCCTAAAGAGTCTGTAGCCGTCCATGACAGCATGCCAGTCATGCAAGTTGTCCCACCACGTTTCTGTGATGGCGACCAAGTCGTAGCCGTCCTGCTGTATAATGGCTTCCAGCTCCTCCTGTTTATTGCCCATGCTACGTGCATTGGTGTAAACACACTTGGCTGGGCTGTCAATCTCACCCCTGGCCTTGGCACTCCAAGCCTGGGCTCATCCCTAGTGAGCTGGGCGATGTCCCCTTCCCCCTTCGAACCTAGTTTAAAGCCCTCTCAATGAGCCCTGCTAGCTCGTGGCCAAGAATTCTTTTTCCCCTTTGAGATAGCTGAGTTCCACCTGTCACCAGCAGGCCCGGTGCTGTGTACACCTCCCCATGATCAAAGAAGCCAAAATTTGACTGATGATTAGAAATGCAAGCCATCAGCAGGACCCCAGAGCTTTATCCCAGCTGAGGACCTGGCGCAATACATTAAAAGGTATTTCAGCCCCAGACTCATTTTTCTGGGGGCACGCTCCCCGCTCAGCACACCTGGAATCGTGCAGCACCAGAGACAACAGCTTGGCTAGCTCTCCACAGTGCCGCGGCCTCTCCTCGTGCACGGGGCAGACATGCCAACCCCCCCGGGCCGTGATGCAGCCAGCGCAAACAAGCAGCCCTAGCCGCGATCTCTCCCTAGCTTCCTCCCCACAGTCCGCAGCCTCCTTGTGTGGTTTCTTCCAGCTACCAGTTGTACAGCAGACCTGGAGCTCAGGGTTTCTGACTCTCGTTACAAGAGTGTCCTAAAGAAGGAGGGAAGAGGGGGAGACGCAGGAGACCAGGCTGTGTGTAAGCAGCCAGGGCCATCTGCTGCAGCTATGTACAAAGGCCATCGCTTTGAAAGCGGGAAGCAAAAATCACATCGCTCTCGGCTGTGCTTTTCTAGTGTCCTCCCCATTGAGGCTGATGCTGCAGCGTACTGGGAGAGGACATACACTGTAGACAAATCAATTCCTCTGGCTAATTCCATTATGCCTCAGGTGCTGCCCCCACAGAGAGCGTCCCCGTCATGTGTCACAGCAGCGACAGCCACGCTGGCTCCAAACACCCAGTCCATCTGCACAGCAAAAGGCAGCACAGCGCAGAGACCAGGCCTGGGCCCCAAGGGCAGCACCTGGCTGCGGCCAGACCGAACGCCCACTGCTGCTCCTTTCAAGCGCCTTGCCGGAGGGAGCCCACCGGCTGCGCAGCCGCCCTGCTTCCCAGCCCCGGCGTCTCTTTTAGTTTAGAGTCATTCCCTCTTGTCCTATCACTATACACCCTCCTGAAAAGTCCCTCTCCATCCTTCCTCTAGGCCCCCTTCAGGTACTGGAAGGCTGCTATAAGGTCACCCCAGAGCTTTCTCTTCTCCAGGCTGAACAGCCCCAACTCCCTCAGCCTGTCCTCACAGGAATTCCTGAGATCTGACATCAGCCGGAGCAGCACAGCGCGCTCCTTCGGAGAGGCGGCGATGGGCGAAGAACTGCTCCTTGACGGACTGAAGGCTCGCAGCTCTTTTTTACGAGCTCTGTGGAGGATTGGACGCCCTCCCGTCCCCCCTCTACAGCCAGGGTAAACAGCTGCGGCTCTGGCTGCAGCTCCCGGTCTCATCACCCCTCCGGCTCTCCGCAGCCTCCCACCTGCCTTAGTTGCCTTTGGTGAAGCAAAGTGTCGGTATGGCAGGGATGAAGCCAGAGCAGAAACGTGCTTTGTTACATGTCAAAAGGGCAAGGGAAGAAAGCAGGGTTTGTTGTTCATTTTTTTAATTTTCCCTCCCAAGTTACCTTCCTAAAGCGCAATTTCTGGTATGGGTAAAGCCCTCCAGCCTGCGCTGCGTACACCCTTCCCAACACATGTGCATGGTTTAGTCATTTGCCTCCTCTCAAAGCTCAGCTGCAACATACTCTACACGACCACCCGGATTCACCAGCCTTAAAAGCCTCCTGGGGGTTACAAAACCAATTATGCCAGTTCTTGAGCCATTCCGGTATTGTCCTGGCCTAAGATTTTACTTCCGAGGTACACGCACACAATTCACTGTAACCAAAAGCGTTACTTAAGGATGAGTTTAGCTTATAGCACAGAAGCACAAAGATACCAAACTACTTTAGTTATTTTTGAGAAAACATTGTTAAAAAAAAAAAATAGTTTGGCACTACAGTGGTATAATTTACAAGCTACTTCCCTCTGTCTCCAAAGATAAAAATCACCCCCAGGCTGATGAACTTACCAGCTCCACGTTCATAACTGAATTCATCTGAAGTACCTGACAGCGCAAGCCGCTGTGCAGAACTGCTAAAGCCATCGGGAAGCTCCGAACCCTGCAGGCTGATGAACTTCCCAGCTCCACGTTCATAACTGAATTCATCTGAAGTACCTGACAGCGCAAGCCGCTGTGCAGAACTGCTAAAGCCATCGGGAAGCTCCGAACCCTGGCTTCACGAGTTAATGACGGGGAAGGAACGGGATTTCCACCTGCGGGGGGGAGTCCAACGGACTGGCCATCAACCACGGTACTTCGAAACGGGGCGACAGCAGATCCGCAGGGAACCGGGACATCTGCAATAGGTGCTCAGCGCTGCGGCCAAGCACCGGGCGACAGCCCGCCGGCGCACCCGGGCGAACCCCTGGCTCTCCAGCGAGAGGAAGGGGCGAAGCGGCATCTCCCACAGCCCGGCTTCCCTGCTGCTCGGGCTGGAAGCGCTGCGTCTGCT